GATGGACTCTACCCTTTCTCTCTAGGAAGCAGGAGCCTCACAGCTTGATTTCACTTCAGGGACTATCTGTGACTTGTCCTTTTTGGCCAGTATAATCCAAGAAATCATCCCTTTCTCCTTCCTTCATCCCCAGTGGATGTTCTCCGGTCCTGCATTTCTGTTAGTGACCAAGGTATCTCCTACCGGCTCTGCTTAAGCCCCTGCAGTCAAAGAAGGAGGGAGTGCAATTTCTCACTGCTGCTCTGCAGATTCATAATACTGTAGTTTGTAGGACTGTGTGGCATTCTCACACTAAGGCACACAACACTGCTCTCTACGCTACTAAACTGCTGGGCTAGCCAGAGGTTAGCCTTGTGACAAGAGATTAGTCCCCTGAATTTAAGTCTGGTTTGCCATTGCTGCAGTGGAGATGAGCTGGGGTTGCAGGACAGTCCCTACAGCAAGAGCTGCTGTAGAGTGACTACTGGGGATGGAAATGGAGTAGAGTTGCTCAGGTCCTGCTGTAGGACAGGCAGAAGTGCTGCGATACTCTCCGGTGCTGCCCCCTACCCCAGTTTGTTAACACCCAACCCCAGGCACCTTCGAGGGACTGGCTTTTCAGAAACGGCATTCACTCTTGGAGATAAGGCCTCTTTTAAAGGTGGAGTCAAACATCATAAATACACAGACAGTTGCTGAAAATCTGGATATGTTCTACATGAGGTCAAAAAAGAAGGAAAGAAAAGTGCAAGGACACTGAAGGACACCCCTCCATGTGCCCAAAGCCTTGCACTCTCTACATAAAGGAGAGACAGAAGGAAGATGCAAGAGGATGTGTGTGAGGAGAGAAAGGGAAAAGGGACATTTTCTGTCGGGGTGAAACAACAGCACTTGCTGTGGGGGCGTGTAGGAGACTGGGGACCCAAGTAAAGGCTTTCTTAAGAAGCGGGCAGCCAGTCAGGGCTCCCCTGGTGAACGACCTCTCCCGTTTAACGGAGGGTTTTGTTTGTGGCATTATATTCAATTCACTAAGCTCCTCGGTGCTTTTCACCTTTCCTCAGTGGTTAACCACCTCCCTCTTCTCAAGAGCCCCCCAGGGTGACAGCAGGACAGAGGCTGGGGCAGCAGGGGGATGGGGACCAGGTGTTTGAAGAGCAGGGATATGCAAGAAATGCTGGAGGCAGCAGATGTCGGTGTCCAGGCCTTTTGTTCCCTCACACTCGCCAGCCTGAGTTCTGGGACCACCTTTTTGTTTTTGTCTCCCCATTGTCATTCACGCAGGAGGGGCTCCTCAGGAGTTAACCTCACAGAGTCTCATCTCTCTCTCTCTCTGCACCCAACTGCCCCAAGAAAGAGTTGATTGCCCTTATACTCCGGTTTCTATTTAGATCACTTTCTATTAACATTCAAAAAACCCTGACAGAGTTAATGCAGAGCACTGAAAATCCGCTAGTGTCTTACAGGGCTGGTAAGTCCCAGTGACTTGACTTGCCACTCCCCTCGGCAGGACCATTTTTAATCCTCATTAAGAGAAAGAACAACCAGAATGCACACATCCTTTACTTTAGTGAGAATGTGACTCCAGACAGGGATGTCACCCTGGTAGCTGGGGCTGCTCAGCAAAAGGATTGAGCCTTCACAATTGGTCAAATATTCCCTCTTGAACTTGCAGTGCAGCCTGCCTCCTGCACCTGGCCTTCTGCACCGTTCAGTCATCCTGTGAACCTGCCAGACCAAAACCTGCAATGTGCACACATGCTCCCTCCCTCTCCCTTATCTGTGTGTATAAACATCCGAAATCTCATTGCTGGTTGAGCTGCCTGGAGCCGCACATTCACCCAGCTTTTGTCAGCATGGTTACAAAAGGTGCAAGTAGTAAATATGTAAATCCTCGGGGAGGAAAACCTCAGCGCTGGCAGCACAGCGGCTACATGTCCACTACAGGAGAGCTCCCTAGTCTCTCCCAAACCTGGCTGGCATGGACAGAAATAGGTTTGCGTTGGCAATCCCTGCATTTTCCTTGCACAAAACTAAAATCTGCCGTGGGCTGGCAGGAGGCTCAGCTTGCCTTCCCTCCTGCTCCCTGCTGCTTCATTTCTCTCCACCCTGCTGTGAAGTTTGCAGAGCCAAGCGCCGTCCTCCCGTCCTCACTGTCCCCAGCCCCTGCACAGCTGGGACTCGCTATTCAAAAGACAGAGCATGCCGCTATAGGGTAGTTAAATGCTATAGGGTAGTTAAACGCCTTATTTAGTTTTCAATCTGCATCTATCATCTTGCTTGGGCAAAGTGGGAGTGTACTCTATCTAGAACTGAATGGCATCAGCTTTCATGAACTATTGGGGCACTTAAGGCCCAATCCATCAAGACACTAGGTGCCTTTGACTTCCAATACAGTCAGCTGCTACCCAGCAGGACAAGGACTAGAATTCCCAGTAAAACAGTTTGACTCTGCAATGACTTACAAATGACACAGATAACACCCTTCATCCATTTGCTGGTACCTCAAACACACAACTCCAGTGCATCTGGAAGAAAACAAGCCATCACCCATCAGTATGCATTATAACCTCCAGTAATTTATTTTCATTCTTTGCACCGCTGTAACTGTAGTAATATTAATTATTAGCATCAACATTTACATATACAGGTTTAATGTGCAAGACAACCAGTACAATCACATGCGCAAATAAAACCCTTCACATACTCTTTTACAGGCAACACATCAAATACTGTAGCAAGGTGCAAATATTTTAGTACAAAATATTTGGGGTTTCTTCAAGAAGAAGAAAATGCACACAGGTAAGATCACTACAGATGCACCATTTAAATAAACAACCTTCATTCAGAAGAAACAAAGAAGTTACTTGCATGGGAAGCTAACCATGCATTTCATAGTACTTTAAAGCCACTCCTAGTCATAACATTTATGTCATTTTTAGTTGACTTCACTCATCCTGAATTATTTAATGTACCGAACCAGCAAAGCCTTAACACACGTAATTTCCATTTCTGTTGGCCAAGATTCTGTATGCTTGAGGAAAAAGACCTCCTAAAGGCAGGCACTTGTAAGAAAGATTCAGTTCCCCTACCTGTTCTTCAGCATGGGTTTGTAGATCTAAGTACTGTGATAATTTTCTGCTCAGGAGTGAATGTTACCTATTTAGAGGTCAGGAGTTCAACTCTCAATATGCACAAAATTCAGCCTGCTCTATTATAGTAATATTTGATATTAAAATAAGAAAAAATAAATCAGACTCTGATTTTCATTCTACTCTAAAACCTACATATATATGTACAATACAATTGGATTTGCTTATTTAAGATATTGCCTAGTGCTGAGCCTCAATATTTTACTTATAAGTAAGTAGTTCAATAAATATTTAAAAAATATTTTTACTATGAAATCAGTGAGGACAGAGCATATTAAGTACAATGAAACTTACAAAAATTAGTGCAAATCAACACAATAAGTAAATGTAGAGGTAGAATTTTTCTCAAGTTCTGTATTTAGAGACACATAATTTGGCACAAAATAAAAACTTTTCTTATACTTTATGTGCAAGATCCTTATTATGGGCTGATCTAGAATACTTAGAAGAGAATATCATCGTCCCAGTAACATCAAACTACCTGTGTTCATCAGCCAGCTCCAGCATGGGCTTCCATTATGTCTCGTGGATGCAACACAGTCCCACAAACAACACTCCCATACACACAACCTCCTGCCAATTGTGCTGGCCACTCAGTGATAATAAAAACTTCTACACTAATTACGGCACTCCCTATACTCAGTGATCCTTCAGCACAGCCTCCTAGTTGAGATTTCACATTGACATGAAATGCCATTTTGTTAAGAATTTTAAAAAATTTTGAAATTACGTGAACTTGAACAAATCACTCCTGACTTTGTTGTATGATCAGTGAGAAATGGAGGATGACACCTCCTAGTCCTCCCAAGGAGGCAAAGGCTTTCCTGCAGTCTGAGGGAGGAATTTCACATGCTGAGTTTTATGCTTTGAGGAGTCTTGGCATCACCTATTCAATACTTTCAGATTTTGAGCAGAGGAAGGGAGTGCCACTACAGCAGTCATCCAATGTAGAGCTAGGAGGAAGCAGAAGAGCCCACCCGTCATATATCAGGACTCACCACAAAGACTCATCTGGCCTGGACCAGGCAGGCTGAATGACATTCAGAAAGAAAAGCCCAACTAGGGTGACTGTGCCTGCTCCTGACCTGTGCTGAGACCATAATGAAATGCCCCTATGAGGCCACCTGACTGCTTATGGTCCACCTTGAAAGCTCACTGATGTTTCTATACGTTTCATCCTCTAAACTCTACTGGCTGGCATGTCAGACCTGCACATCTCACCACACCCTGATTCTCTCCCTCTGGTCTAACCAGTATCCTCTGGAAGAAATAATCTTCAGAGTCATGGAGCTCTCCATGTCCCAGTAGCTGAATGAAGAAACTGAAATACCTCTATGTTGGTCCAGCAGTCAGTATCTCTGAGGCAGTTCACATATAAATTGAACATAATTAGAAGATTTATAGGGTAAGGGAAAGTAGACCCCATACATGTGCTTATCTGTCCAAACAAAACAGGTTAAATCAGCTTTGAGAAATGCACTTGATACAAACATTCCTCACACACGTTTTGATATGGACTACACCAGGAAGTCCACAGCCGTGGTGCATTAGAGATGCAGAAGCACTCCTCACAGTGTGCACAAAAGGTTTTGGGGAGGTAAAATTCCCTCCCACTTGTTAAGATTAGAGTATGGGAGGAGAGGAAAGGACGGGTTGAGTAATGAATGTTCCACTTCACCCCAGTGTGGCATCAGGGTGTACCCAGAGAACTCCTGTCCCCTGGGCTCAGTCATATGCCTTGGGTCCAGGACCTACCCCAAGAGTCACTGCACAGGTGAATATCCCGTGGCATGCACACAACCATGGACAAACAGATACACACAGACTGATACACACATGAGCTGGTCCAGGACACGCCCGCAGGGTTCCCGACTAATGAACAGTGTGGATCTTCATGTGGAAGTTGTAATCTTCCTGCTCAGGGAAGTGCTGGCCACACACCAGGCACGTGCAGCCCTTCTCCTTGCTGTGCGTGCGCCGCACGTGGCTGTCATGGGCTGCGTGTGAGGCGAAGGCTTTGCCGCAGTGCTTGCACTTGAAGGGCTTCTCCCCCGAGTGCTGGCGGATGTGAGTGCGCAGGATGCTGGATGCTGTGAATGCCTGAAGGGGTAGGGATCAGAAAGGGGATGGAGTTGGAAGTAATTTGTTTTCACATATGTAATCCCCACCTTTAGCTAACCCAGACCCTACCAGGAGCTATGTGCCCTGAAAATTAAGTCCCAAAATAGCTCACATCCTCAGATAACTGGAACAAAATCCCAGAACCTACAGCAATGAGGAAGCAGAAGCCAACATCTATTGCTATATATAGATGTAGCTGAGTCTAGGGAGATGGCGATAGGTGAAGTTCAGAGAAAGATTTCTGACCAGAGACACCAGTAAATATCTTCTATGCGTCAACGGTAAGAAGTCAATACTGTCCTAATTAGCTTTGTAGCTCCTTAGTGTCTGGGAAATATAATGCAAGCTTTTCTTTCAGTTTTAATTTTCTAAGTTAAACCCTTTCACTGGCTTAAGATTCAGCTGCTAAAATTCATCCATGCAGTCCACCATACATCTTTCACTGGTTCATTTTCCCTGCTCCATCATTAGTCTTCCTTCAGTCAGATCTTCCAGCCAGTTCCCCCACCACTACACACACACACTTGAGCAGCAAAGCGTGTACTTTCCCACTCTGTCACAAAGATGCATCCTCCATTTGGGAATAAAACTCTCTCCCCAAAACTTTGATCAGGAATGTTGCAAAGTTGCCAGTGTTTTCCTAATTTTTTCCTTTCCCAGGACACTTTCACTATGTGCAAATTACACACAAGAAATCCTCTCTAGTAAGTTTTCACAGCAAATGGCAATACACATAAGACCCTGGAGGTATATATCAAAGGGGCCAAAATGTGTTTGAGGGACAGATTGGTGATGCTGACCCAACACTGTTCCTTTAATTTTAAAATGTTGCCCAAATAGTGACTGTTTTGCTTTCACAGCAATGGAGCTGGGAATGTAAAGCCATCATTAGACATACCAGGGGAAAAGGGAAATCATGATTGCGTAGGACAAGCAGGTGAGGATTCAGGTGAGGATTCTTTATAACAGCCCTGGTTTTCCAGCCTCAGAAGTGATGGCTATGTCCCAGGATAGGTGCATCCTGGACTAGTAGTTTAACCTGATTCAATTCACAGCAGTCAAATGGGAACTAACTGGAGGCTGGTCAAGGGTCGCTACAGATCTCTTTACAGTGCGACCTATCGAGCTCTGTCACCTCCTTCTGTGATTAGGAGATAAGGGATGACGTTTCATCCTAAACTCTGCCTACAACTGTTCAGGATCTCTGGGAGACAAAAAAAAAAACAAAACAAACAACAGGAGCATTTTTTAAGGTTCGTTGCTTCAGGACACTTCAGCTCTGAGTTAGTCTAGCCAGTCCTAAACGAAGTATCTCTCCAAAATCAGGAGCATCTGACTACATGCTGAGGATGTTTCTGCATTCCATGGACAATCCACAGCACCTGGAGCCTTACCAGTATTCATCCAGCAGCAGCGTGCACATCCATCCTGTCTGCTGGGAGAGCTGTCACTGCTTTCACAGGGAGACCTCAGCTGAATCATCCCTGCTGTGATGGGCAGTAACAGCCGAGCACAGTTTTGATCAGTGCTGTATGGCTGTTTGTCTTCTTTTCCAAAAGAAACCTGCATGCCCAGCTGCACACCTACAGCCCTGTTATTTCAAGGTAAGCATGCACAAATCCCTATTGTGCAGGTTCAGTGTACAATCTCTTTACGGCAATCCAGAAGCAGTGTCACTAGTATCAAAAGCTACCTATCTGATGAAAAAGTGGGATACTGGATCTAGCTGTGTGCCTTGGATGGTATTTGAAATGCTCCCAAGCCTTCATAGACCTTATTTCTGCAACAGATCACTGAGCTGGGATGAACCACAAATTTCATGTCAGATGAAGACCAGACCTTGTTTCTTCAGTCTTATCCACCCCATCACTTTAGCTCACAACTGCCCAGAATATACACACTTTCCAGCTTAAATACAAAGCATTTTCTTGAAAGGAAACATAAGACAAACAAAGGATAACAGAGGACAGATGGAGGGATGGGACAGGGCTTTGCCTTACCTTGTTGCAATAGACACATTTGTAAGGGCGCTCCCCAGAGTGAACCCTCATGTGTTTGTTCAAGCTGGAGGACTGAGAAAAGCTCTTCCCACACACAGAGCACTGGGAGGAAAAAAAAAGGGCTGAAGTTAAAGTGAAGCATACAGCAGCATAGTTAAAAAGAAAAAACAGGTATATGGATGACATGTTCATGTATTCTACCATATATTTATGTATATACATATGTTATGTATTCATATATATATAAACACAGTAGTGATTATAAGCAGTAGCAATCAGAAATAGCCAGAATTTTAGTATGGTTTTAATAACAGGTTTATTAATATACATATATTAAAAAAATGCAAAAATTTTAAGTCTTTTATTGTTAAAATATGTTAAATGCTATTTTTCAGAACATGAATAGACAATATTGTCTTTCAGTAATAAAAAATCTGAATATTTCTGTATAATTATCACTTAAAAAAAAAAAAGTAAACCAAGCTCCACTTGCTTTTTTTTCCTAAAAGATAAACACTAAATAAAAAAAAAAGAATAATCTTAAATTGATCTTGTACAGTAATAACCATTGCTTCAGAAATGTGGAGTCAGTCACAGCACTAGAAAGGAAAAGGGGAAAGGAAAGGGGGAAAGCAAAAGGGGAAAGGGAAGGGAAGGCAAGGCAAGGCAGAATTAAATGGTATTTAACACCTTATATTTAATAGAATGTTTTCATCTGTTACTAATTCCATGCAGATATTCTGACACTGTAATGATGCCGTTTTAGTGATAAAATATTTTCCTGGAAAAAAAATCCTGTTATTGTAGGATGATCTATAAAAAGGTACTTGGAGAATTTTTAGGACTGATTTCACTGTGTTAAAAACACTTAAATTTGCCCTTCCCAAGCTTTTAGAAAAAGCCTTGATTTTCCACTCTCAGTGCTCCTAGAGAAAACCAATGCTAGAGCAAGATGTTTGGTGGAGATGAGTAAAGTATTTTAAAGACTTGGTTTCATCAGTTGAAAATCTGCTCCACATGGAGTGAATAACTTTTGATTCCTGTTTGGATCAACAGAAACAAATACTGATGTGGGTCATTTCTCAGACTGAAGGGTGCAGTTGAGGTGTGGAAAACAGACATGAGACATCCATATTCCTGATCTTAGACAAGGGAAGCACCTTTAAACACAAGTTAGCCCCACACTGTTTAAGAAAAGGAGCAACACCCATATGAAAATATCCAAAAAGCCCAGGAGAAAATTGGTTTCAATTTAAACTCTTATGGACACTGTAGGGTTTGTTTTACCCATATAAATCCATTAAATGTCTTCAACTAAGCTTTGCTGCATAAGACAAGCTCTCCCTGCACAGGCAGAGCTTCCCACCAGGGAACTGCCAGGACGGAAACTGAAGGAGGGGGAACATCATCAGAACCTTACCTGGACCAAAAAAGACTTTTCAATCACTTCCCCCAGAAGAGCCAGTGACTAAAGAGAGATCTGGGAGCAGGCTCACCTTGTGAGGTCTGTGCTTTTCGTGAACGTGTAGAATATGTATTCTCAGCCGGTCTCTTTTTTCAAAGGATCGGTCACAGAGGTGACAAGGAAATTTGCGGTCCCCCTGGTCCACACAGCGAGTGTACTTGAGGTGTTTGTCCCGATAGTACTTGTAGGCAAAAACCTTGCCGCAGCGCTCACACTTGAAGCTCTCCCCGGCTTCTGTACAGCAGAAAGGATTACACCACACGTGCCATTACAATCCGGCAAGAGGGACTCAGTTCAAATCTGCATCCTTGTCAGAGCTGGGACCCAACGGGGAATTTTAAATCTCTGAGAGGGTGATAACGGTAATCGGATGCTGGCAATATCATCAACAAAATACACGTGGGGTCTCCTAAGCGTTCGCACATCTCCTTTCCAACGGAGGGGAACAAACAAGAGCCCACAGTCTGCTGAAATGATTGGTTTTAGCTCCTGACTTCAGCAAAGACAGGATTTCAGCCTTGTTTCTCTATAAACAGTGGGCGAATGTGTTAAAATCCAGTGCAGAGTCCCACATAAAAGCGTCTCCCCATATGGAACCATTGCCAGGTATTTTTCTTATCAAGCACTGTCCGCAAATTTGACCTCCTATCCCCAAAAGAAAATAATTTTGCACACCTTTTCTATCGTTTTCAATTAAGTATCGAACAAAATACGACGTTTATTTGGTTTTCTTATGTATTTCAAACCGTTCGCAACCACTGATTTTAGCAACAACACTGGAAAATTTAAAGATGTTTTTACATCGTTTTCTTTCTTTAATAAAAGTAACTTTGGCTTAAGCCTGAAGATGAAAGGAACAATTTAGCGTCAGCCAGAATTAAACAGTTCCAGACAACAGGTACAAAAATTTCCATTCCAAATTTCCATGCCAAATGGCATAAATCTGTTTTCTCCACAACTTTTACTTTTTAAGAAGGTCATACTTTCAGTACATTACAAGCAGAAGTTTCCTACCCCACCCTCCGGGAGTAAGTGCATTTCGTACTTCTTTTGCATGCAATATCGGCACTGTGGGATCGAAACGACTTCAGCCTGCCCCATTTACTGAGAGCGTTACTTGCATGAAAAACATTACTTAGTCAGGTACGCAGTCCTAAGATGACACACGACCAAAAAAGGAATGACCCCGAAAAGCCCTTCTCCCCAAAACGGGACCCCTGAACAACGGCGCTGCGGGGCAGAGGCAAGCTCAGCCCAGGACGACCAGATGATTTACAATCGTCAGATCAGCATTTTTAACTCCCCGAGGAACCGCGAACCGCGAACCCGCGAGGGACCAGGCTGTCGGGGCAGAAAGGAGCGCCTCTTGCTCCGCGCTGCCGGCAGCCCTCGGTGCAAGCCATGGGCTCCCCGACGCCGAGGGGAAGACGCTGCTTTGGGGATGTTGGAAGCTGCAGGAAGGGGCGGCCGACGGTCGGCTCCCCGAGAGGGCGGGTAGACCAGGGGGACCGGGGCTGCGAGGCCACCGCCACCTCGAGCACCCCCGCGGCAGGGCCGGTAACCCCCTCCCCCTCACTGCTCACCGCAGGGTCTGGCAAGTTTTTAAAATAAAACACAGCTGGAAAAAGGTGATGTCTGTGTTTCTTTACCTCCCTTCGCGCGAATCTAATCCCTGTCAGGTACACGTTCGTGGGAATAAGGGGCAGTGTCCCCCGAGGGGTCTTTGGCAGGCTCACCTTCGGGGTGCTGCGGAGGCTTCTTCCCTTCCGACATGGCCTTCAAGCTGATGGGGATGCCCAGGAACTGCACGTAGCAATCACCGTACCACACCAGCAGCTCCTGCTTAGGGAAGATTTCCTTGCAGGTCTCGTAGAAGATTTCCCCCTGGCACTGGATAGCTGTCAAATTCTGCTCCTCGGGGAACCTGGCACAGTTCACCAGAGACATCCAGTTGCCAGCGGCGCCCTTCCCGTCTATGAAGTGGCTCAAGCGACCGTATTCAAAGATCTGCGGAGCAGAGAGAACAGGATCAGGTTTGACCAACCCTTCCCGCACGGCCCGCTAGCACCGGTCCCACCACCCACACTGGGTCGAACCCCTCTTGCAGGGTACGGCAGAGGGGCGGCCGAAAGCTTCGCCCCGAGCCCGCGCTGCGGGTGCGGGGTGAGCCCAGCGGTGCCTCCGCTACCTCCCACATCAGCGAGTTGTCGTCGTAAGTCTTGATCTCGCTAGTGTTGACCACTTTGCCTTGGAAAGGGCCGAAGCGGACTCCTTTGGGGATGGGATCCGTGCAGAAGACTCCAAGGTGAGACACGTCCCCGTAGGCCACCCGCAGCACCGAGAGTCCTGGGGGGGACAGGGCGCTGAGTGCGGCGCGGGTGGCGCAGCGCGGACTCAGGCGGTCCTGGCCTTACCTTCGGGTAACTGCAGCGAGTCCCGGTCGAGCAGCGGGGCAGAGGAGTCCGCAGCGCCTGCAGAAGAAAGACACCTTCTTCAGCCCAGCACCGACCCTCAAGGAGGGGGTCCTGCCTCCCCGACAGAAGCCGCACCACTCCCCGGCTTTTTCAGGGTGTGGGGTCATAGCACAGGAAAACCACGGGGAAGTGGCCCTTGAGCCTGGCTGTACCAGGACAGCCTGTACCCTCTCTGGGAGCCAACCCGACCCCCCCCCGCACACCTGGCTGCAGAGTACCGGTACCGGGAGGTACCACCCAGCGTTCTTCCCGCCGCCGTCGAAGACACCGTTACCTGAGCTGGCGGGGGACACCCGGAGCCCCGAGATGGCGTGGAGGCTCCCAGTCGGCTGGCTGCTCCGGAGCGCCCCGTACAGCACCGCGTTGAGCTCCTCCTCGGTGAAGTGGTACCTGTAGCTCTGCCCCGCCGCCCCGTCGGCCCCCGGGCTGCGGGCAGTCCTGTGCGGGGGGCTCGGATAGGGCGGAGAGGGGGATCCCAAGGGCCCAGTTCCGCGGGCCGAGCCCTCGCTGGGAGGGAAAGCAACCGGCAGCTTGGTGTAGAGGGGCAAGGGGAGGCTGGGGAAAGGTTCGGCGGGCAGGGGAGGAGGCTGGGTCAGGAAAGCGGGGACCCTGCTGAAGGTGAAGGAGGGTAGAGGTGGGGAGGAGGGAACCAGTCCGCCCAGGGGTTTCAGGGGCTGGTAAAAGTCAGGAGCCGCCTCGAAGTACTGGGCGGGAGGGAGGAAAGAGGGGTAGTAGGAGGGGAGGCTAGGGCTCATCCCGAGCGCGTCTCCGCCGTCTCCGGGGACCGACTCGCCGGACAGGGACAGAGCCATGTCAGGACGAGCCGTCCGGGAAGGGAAAGCGGGACCTGTCAGGAAGCTGAGGGGCAGACACCTGGGTGCTGCCGGAGCGGTGTCCTGCTGCGGGGCGGGGGAGGGACGGAGTCGCAAGAGCCGCTGCTCTCTGCCCTCCGCCGCCAGGCGCCGTCGGGGCTAGCGGGCGGAGGGCTGCCGGCCCCCTGCGGCTATATCGGCCTGGCTACCGGGGTGGGGGTGGGGGACAGGCGGAGGCGGCCCGCCCTGGGGGTCGCACAGCCCCGGGGCTGATGGGCGGGCGGGCAGGGGTACCCCTTCCCCTGGGCGGAGCCGCAGTTACTCGCGGAGCGGCAGGGCCGCCCCTCTCCACGTCGGGGTCGGAGGTGGAGAAACCTTTAGTTCAGGACAAAACCCCATACAGCATGGGTTACTGCAGAGCTCCCTCTTGAGTAACTCATTCCAGCCTGGGTGACACTACACATGCAGGTCTGGAGGGAAGGGACAAAGTGGACTCTGCTGCAATGCAGAGAGCTTGGGGACTTGCACCCAAAAGTCTCTCTCAGAGAAAGGTAGCATAGAGCTTCCTGGGGCACAGCATAGCATGAGTCAAACTGCACACAGACTCAGCTGGAGGTTTAAATGCCATTTCAGTGTATATAAGTGCTGTGCTTTTTAATTTATTAATGCTCCATGTGATCCTCTGTAAAGCATTGTCTTCATTCCGAAGAAGAGATGCGCTAGGAAGCACTTGAAGCAGCCTCAGAGAAAACCATGTCTTCAGACACTGCCACTGCCTGCACTTGACCAGAGGTAAAGTGATCCTTTCAAACCTTATTTCTTATCTGGTCTCAGTGAAGTGCTCTGAAACAGAGTTTGAGAAAGAATCACTGTCTGCCCTGGGGGGAATCAGTGTTTAATCCACAATCCCTCAGACACTGTAATTCCTACCTAGCAGAAATTTTGATTTGCAACCTCCCCTTACAGTTTTTTTTCACTCAGGACATAAATACTAAAACAGCAAACACAAATACAAAACACTATTGAGAGAGACTCAAAACTGATCCAGGCTCCCTCAGCTTCCAAGACGCCTTCCATATCCAGCCCAGCACATCTCTGTCCCCAAAGTTGAGTAGGAACATTTATGTATTTTGCATTAAATGTATTGGGCTAATTCTCCTACCTACAACCTCATTCTCCATCCTAACCTCTGTTTGTAAGACAAAAGTAGTGAATACACCAGGGAAGCTAATAGGCACAGGAGTCTTAGGGAGAAGGTAGGAATGCACCTTTCAGAAACTTGCTTAAGGTAGTACCGTAGCTTAAATCACCTGTGGTGTTTTTTTGTTTGTTTGGTTGGTTGGTTTTTGTTTGTTTGTTTGGTTGGTTGGTTGGTTGGGGTTTTTTTTTAATTATTATTTTATTTTAAATTTTCTCTGAGTTGTTCCAAACCTCTGTTATTTGTAAGACAGAATTATGTTGCAGTGCTTTAGGAAACAGTTTCAGGAAGCAGTTTATCATGCCTTTATTGATGCAACAGCAGCATAAAACTAGTACTAGCATAATCTCATTTCCAGGAATAAATCTTTGAGCTGTGATCGCACAGAGAAGTTTGAGTTACATTTAGAATTAAAGCGTTGGAAGATAATCTATGCTGTATCCAGATATCAGAGGACAGGAAGAGGGAAAGAGATTTGTGGAGAAGACATGCTCACATTGGAGATTCATGAGAAATGAATACAGATGCAACATGAAATTTTTAAATTCTCATCACTAGTTAATTGTAGAGATGCCCCGAAATATTTCCTTTTTCTGATGACACAGAGCCCAGGAGAGGAAAAGGGCTTGAGGCACTCTTGTTACTATACTGCAGATAAATCTTTAGAGGCTTTAACATCCCCATAGGGGTTAAAGGCATTTATTGCATTAAAAAAGTCCCAACCGTGGGAGGACATATGGGGGACACAGAAGTGCAGCTGCTTAGAGGCACCCCCAGCAATCTGGTCAGCCCTGTGGACAGCTCCAGTCCTGTGGACCCCTTCTCTGTTTTTATGTCTTGTTACAAAGTAATCAGAGCAGTCTATTAGCCTCCCTTTCCTGCTGCAGGATTTTAGAGTGTATTCGTTCTCTGCAGTGATGTGGGGATGCATATTAAAGACAAGCACCAAGGGACAACCCTGCAGGCTGCTTGCATAGCATTCAGTCACCTAAGTGGCCTTAGGCTTGTCTCCTTGGAGTGATCCAGATGTCTTGATCCAAAAAATTGCATCTCAAGCCCTTCTATCCTCCTTTCAGTTTGGACACCAGCTCTTCGTCATCACTCTTTCGCCCACTGTGCATCTCCCTTACTCCAGACTTCAACTGGTCTGCCTCCTGCACATTCCCAAACACACATCACTACACCTAAAAGCAGCCTCTTCATCCTTCAAAGACCACAGCAGACCCTGATGCCCAGCTTCCCATGTGTGGGCTCCCCATGTCCAAGCATTTAAACTGATAACCAGCTGCAGCAAGGACATGAGAATCCCAGTGATGGCACCAGACACTGTCATAGAAATAACCTGAACTGCAATTTAGATCAGGTCAGAGCAGAAATGGTTTATTGCTATGGCTCTAGGAGAGCACAAGGAGCAGAAGGGCAACTGGCTCTGCTGATAGACCATTAAAAAAGGGGAAAATACATTAAAGTGCTTCAACTTTCCTTTTCTAATACTAATTGTATCTTTAGGTACATCAGCATTTTAATGATGTTACAATTAAGTCTGTGACTTCACTAAAGCAATCCACTGCTCTTACCCCATTCAAAATACACTGAGAACAGATAGTTAACTGAAAAATACCGCACAAGAAAAAGTTGGGGAAGCCAGTGTAAGATTTGCAGCAAATCAGTCTCCTGTCACAGAGATGCAGTCCTTTTCCCTTTGCTGGGACAGGCCACTCAGTAGGCATGTGAGCAAGGACAGGAATAATTGTTGTTCTCATCTCTCAAAGAAACTCTGCCAACAGTTTGCAGGGAGCTGAATAAATTACTCTAGTCAGGATCACTGTGGGTCCTTCCAGCATCTTAAGTAGTTGTAGTAGGAAGTGATAAAGTGAAGTGTAGCCTGCAACTTGGATCAGAGAGACATTTTTCAAGCAATAGAAGAATTATCCCACCTCTCCTGCACTATCTTCTCAGGAACATCTCTTAGGGAGAAATTCCTGGGCACACCACAGAAGTTGGGGCAGCTTCATTGATATCTTTTTACAACAGGGTAACCCACCTAGTTAATCTAGCAAAGACAGTAGATATAATTATTTTGGACTTATGCAAAGCTTTTGATACTGTTTCTCACAGTAGCCTTCTGGACAAAATATTTGGCACACAGCTGAAAACTGTAATGTGATGAGTGAGCAACTGGCTCACAGGTCGGGCACACAGAGTTACAGTGAACGGCTTAACTTCAGGCTGGTGTTTGGTCACTAGTGGGGTTCCACAAGGCTCCATCCTTGGCTCAGTGGTCTTCAACATCTTCAGTAATGACCTGGATTCAGGACTAGAAGGAATATAAGTAAATTTCCCGATGACGCTAAATTGGGAGGAGCCTTTGACTCCCTTGAAGGCAGGGAGGCCCTGCAGAGAGACATCGACAAGTTAGGGAGTTGGGCAATCATCAATTGTATAAAGTTTAACAAGGGCAAGTGCCAGATTTTGCACCTGGGATGGGACAACCCTGGTTCTGTGTATAGACCAGGGAATGAGAAACTGGAAAGCAGCGCTGCAGAAAGGGACCTGGGGGTCCTGGTCCTGGTTGAGTACAAGTCGAATATGAGTCAGCCGTGCCCTGGCAGCCAGGAGGGCCAACCATGTCCCAGGGTGCATTAAGCGCAGTACCATCAGCTGGTCAAAGCAGGTGGTGGTTCTACTGCACCCTGTACTGGTGCAGCCTCACTTTGAGTACGCGGTGCATTTTTGGGCATCGCAAAATAAAAAAGACATTAAGCTATTAGGAAGTGTCCAAAGGAGGGCCATGACGATGGTGAAGAGTCTGGAGGAGAAGCCTTATGAGGAGTGACTAAGGCAACTTGATTTGTTCAGCCTGGAGGAGACTGCAGGGAGAACAAATTGCAGTCTTCAACATCCTCATGAAGCAATGTGGAGGGACAGGTACTGGATCTCTTCACTTTCGTGATCAGTGACAGGACCTAAAAGACATGTCATGAGGCTGAGTCAGGGGAGGTTTAGGTTAGGTATCAGGAAAAGGCTTTTCACTCAGAAGGGTGGTTCAGCACTGAAACAGGCTCCCCAGGGAAGTGGTCACATCACCAAACCTGTCCAAGAAGTGTTTGGACAATGCTCTCATGCACATGGTGTGATTCTTGGAGTGTCCTGTCCAGGGCCAGGAGTTGGACTCGATGATCCTGATGGGTCGCTTCCAAGTCATCATATTCAATGATTCTATGATTCACCTCCCCAGCCTCTGTGGTGTATCAGTTTCTCCAGTCTTCACTACCTTCTTCATTCTTAAATAAGTCAGTGGGTGGAGGTTGAGTAGTTAATTTACAGCATATTCAGTATGAACTGAAACATTTAAAGCAGAGTTCCTGCTGCCCCAGTGAACGAGTTTGGCTCTCTGGTAGAAGGAGGGTCTGAATGCTCTCTCAGCTCCTTCCCCTGCACAGAGCCCCCTTCACCGTGGAATGTTGCTGCTGCCTTTACTGCCTAACTTCAGGGGAGGTGGAGGGAACACCACACTGGATGCCATTGAAACTGTCACATGGTCTGTCCCCTGTGCCCAAACTACTGTTGTTCTTTAAGCCAGAATCTTTTAATAATCCCAGAAAGATTCCAGCTCCTCAGGGTTGGAGAAGTAACAAAAAACAGGCATCCCATTTGTGCTGGTTTTGGCTAGGGTAGAGTTTGTCCTGAGCACAGGGTTGATAATATAGTGATACTTCTTTTACTGCTGAGAACTGCTTACACAGGGCCAAGGTCTTTCCTCCTTTTCCTACTGCCACGCTGGCAAGGAAGTTGGGGCTGC